AACTCAGCACCTTGAGCTGAGCTGCCGCCCAGATGACTCATTGGATAGAGCGTGCACTCTTAACAACAAGGTTGCTTCTTCAACTCCTGCATGGGATGATGGCTACGCCCACCCACAACTAAGACTGAACACAGCACTTTGAGCTTAGAGGCCACAAGCTGCTGACGGCAGCCAGATGGTGACTGGCACGTTCCACAACGAAGATTAAAGAACAACAACTTGACTGGTGCCCTCTCCCAAGTCCTCAACATTGTTCCCCTCCCCCAATTCCCCAATAAAATCTTTAAGAAAAAAGAAAAAAAAAGACCAGAAATCTAAATCTTAGATTTAGTGCCACCATTACAATCCTGTCTTAAGGTTCCCAGCATGCAAAATTACAGAAAGCTATTAACAATGACTATATATAGTGATTCAAAGGTGGTAATGGAAATAGTCCTGGTTGAAACATCAGTGGATGTTAAATACTACAGAATACATGCATTTGGATCTGTAGCCTTTGGGGCCATCTGAAATAATGTTTTGCCTCTGGGAGCGAGCTGAAAATCATGGCGTCTAAGATAATACGTCTCTGAGCTGTCGACGAAAAAACATTCAGCCTAAGAGAAAGCTTATGAGTTTATTTGAGCCAAACTGATGACAGTTGCCAGGAAGTGAAATATCAAGGGAATGAGAAAATATTGCAGAAAATGGAGGTTTAGCAACTTTTTTTATACATTAGAATCAAAGGAGAAAGCTTACATGAAGTCCACTGGTGGTAGGTAAGGAGGTGGTAGAAAGCAAAGCAGAAAAATCTCTGCAATTGAATAAAAAGTAAATTGGAGAGACAGATTTCTCTTTTACATTGGTGGGTACAGGATAGTTAATAGCATTTTACAACACATAGAGATGGTAATCAAGGGACAAGAACAACAATGAAGGATTTTGTAGTTTCCTGCGCTGGTATGACAGGTTGTGTAGGGAGGGGAGTCTGAAAAAAGGGGTTACTCTGACATTCCAAGATTATGTTATCTTAGATGCAAAAAAAAAGACAATTGACAGGCTCACTTAAGGTAAAGATCTGACCTGTGTCAAAGGAGCTACAGGCCAAGGTTGTGGCTACTGTCCATGACCTACTTCTAGTTAGGGATTTTGATGTTCAGGCCATCCTATGTGGTGAATTTCGGTCTCTGGGTTTATAGGGCTTGCCATGCGGGACTCCCCTAGCTTGTCAGGTTTAGTATGTGGCCCCTTTTTCAGCCACAAAAACTTGGGTAAGGGCAAGCAATACACAACAGCCCCCCAGAAACCTGAGTTCTGCCCCTTTAAGAAGGGATGGAGACCATTTTAAGCCCTCACACCCAAAGACGCCTTTTCCCAGCGCCCCTCCTCTCAGGGGTTTAAAAGTTTCTAGGGGAGGTCAGAGCCCGAGTGCCTGTATGCAGCTTGTATGCTCTGCGTCAAATGGCAGCCTTGCTGAGCCAATGGGGGCTCAGAATCTAGAGTGGGGTGGGACTTCCTGTGTCCTCCTCCCGGCGGTCATTTTGGCTGCTCGGGTGTGTTCATCAGGGTGGAGATTTCAGGAGTGCGGGGTCGTGGTTGGGGACCCGACAGAGAAGGAGTCAGAGGGGTCGTCGTCCCACAAAGGCGAGTGTGGGAATTCGGCCGCAGCGCCGCCTAAGATGGCCCCTTGGATAAGAACCGCCAACCCGCTCCCGGCCCCGCTCCGCCCACAGGCCGGGATGGCGGCGGCCTGGCCGATGGACGCGGCTCAGGTAAGTGCAAGTCTCCCGGGTCCTCAACCGCCCTCACTCCACCCTAATCCTAAAGCCTGGGGTGCGGGGAACCTGCTCACGCCCTGCAGCCCGGGCCCCTGGCGTCCAGGACGGTGAGGCGCTAGTTAGATGGGGTCCTATTTTTTTATAGTGACTGGGAATGTTTACTTTTACTGTTGGGGGTGTAAATAGGTGTGAGAGAGGGTTACAGGCGAGGAACTGGCATGTGCAAAGGCACGGACGTGCGACTGGGCTGGGAATATTCGGGACAGCTGGGGTTTGTTGTGCCTGCGAGGAACTGTTTAAGGCTGAGTCACACCTGGATTAGCAGGCTGAGGGTTCCACCTGCATTCTCAGGACTGGGTGGCTTAATGAACAGGAATTGATTTCTCACAGTTCTGGAAGATGGGAATTCCAAGATCAAGGTGCAAACTGGTTTGATTCTTGATGAGGTCTCTATTCCTGGCTTTCAGATGGCCTTGTGTCTTCATATGGTGGAAAGACAGGAAGAACAAGTTCTCTGGTGTATTTTATGAAGGCACTAATCTCATTGTGAGGGTCCCAGCTTGGTGACCTCATTTAATCCAATTACCTCCCCCAAACGTCAGTTTAACAAATGAAATATATATGTATGCAAAAACCATGGATGGATCTCTAAGTAATGATGCTGAGTGGAAGAATTCTGACAAAGAACACACATCATAATTTCATTTATAAGATTTTAGAGAATGCAACTTGATCTGTCACAGCATAAACAGATCAGTGTTTGCTTGAGAATGGTGGTCAGGATGAGGGAGGGATGTTATGTAAAGGGCTATGAGAAAATTTTGGGTGGTGATGCATATATTCACTATCTTGACGATGGTGATGGCTTCACAGATGTATATATGTTAAAACTCATCACATCGTACACTTTATGTTCAGTTGTTAAAGATCAATAAAACCATGAAAATAAAAAAATCTTTTTACTTCCAGCAAGATAAAGAGTCTATCTGAGGAGAATGGTTGGAATGAAAGCAATAAGGGAGAAATTGCAGCTACCAGAATAGAAACCTGAAGAAAAGGGGAAACTGTTTTTTGGTGTTTTTTTTTCCTCCTCCTCTACCCAGTGGTATCAGTATGTGGTTAAGGATAAAGTAGAAACCACCCACAAAGAAGATGGAGTCGTTGGTGTCGCTGCCATACTGTCAAGACTAGAGTAGGACCCAGCATGATAGTCCTAAAACCACATGCTGGTCCATAACCCAGTGCTGTTCCTAGTAAGAGGGTGGCATGTGGGAAAATAATTGGGGGAAGGAGGGTTCGTTGTAGGTTATTGAAGTTGTAGTTTGTAGGCCAATGTGGCAGGCAGAGTACTGCCCCACTTAAAAAAGAAAAGTGCCCTCTTAGTAATGGTTAGGTTATGTGCTAAAGGAGAATTAAGATAGTAGATGGAATTAAGAATGCTAATCAACTGACCTTGAGATGGGGAGATTATCTTGGATTATCTGGGTTTGCTAGGTGTAATCATAAAGAAATGATGAAAAAGGGAAAGTGTTAGAGTGATGTAGGGTGAGAAGTACTCACTAGCCATTGCTGGCTTTGAGATCGAAAGGGGCCATTAGGCCAAGTATGTGAGTGGCCTCTACAACTGGCAAAGGCAATAAATGGTTTCTTTCCTAGAGCCCCCCAGAAGGGAAGGCAGCCCTGCTGGCACCAGTGAGATTCACTTTGGTCTTCTGATTTCCAAAACTGAAACATAATAAATTTGTGTTGCTTAAGCCACTAAACTTATGGCAATTTATTACAGCAGCTATAAGAAACTAATATAGCCAGTTTTACATATTATACCCAGTTAAAATAGTGCATTGCTGGTATATTTAGATTTGGCAGATTAGGAAATGAAAATACAGGATATTTAGTTAAATGTGAATTTCAGATAAAACAACGAATTTTTCTTAGTATATGGCCCATACAGTATATCTTATAAAATTACTCATTACTCACCTGAAATTCAAATTAAACTGGGTATCTTATGTTCTGTCAGGCAACTCTAGGTATACTAGAAAGCACAGTGGGCACAAAATCTGGTGGGCATCTACACTCTAGTACTATGAGCATGTTTAGCTATTTTTTTAGAACACTGGTTATTCCTCAAAAACAAAGGTAAAAAACAGGCATTTATCTTTATTGGGGAATTGGGGGAGGGAAACAGTGTTGGGGAATTGGGAAGGGGCAGCCAAGTTGTTGTCCTTTGTTCTTCAGTCTAATTATGGAGGACACCACTTCACTGGCCCATGTTGGTATTGTGATCATTGCGCTCTTCCTGGCTGAGGCAGTCGGTCGCCAGCCATTGGATGGTCACTCATGGCAGCTCACACCAGCTGCCAGCCACTCACATAGACTGCTGGCCACTTGCGGTAGCTTACGGCAGCCCACTGCAGCCTACGCTGTCGCTGGCCACTCATGATCCCAACTCCAGATCAAGCTGTTGTTCACAATCTTAGCTGTAGAGGGCACAGCTTACTGGCGTATGTGGGAATCGAACCAGCAGCCCAGCTGTTCAGAGCTCATGCTCTTACCAACTGAGCCACTTGGCCAGCCCTAACCAACTCATTTTTTTTTTAGATTTTATTGGGGAATTGGGGAGGGTGAACTGACAAGTTGCTGTCTTTTTGTTCTTCAGTCTAGTTGTAGAGGATGTTGCTTCACTGGCCCATGTTGGTATTATCATTGCGCTCTTCCCAGGTGAGGCAATAGCTTGCCGGCCGTTGGACGGCGGCTCATGGCAGCTCACGCTGACTGTCAGCCACTCACAGTAGCTCACGGTAGCCCACTGGAGCAGGGGCTGCAGCCTGTGCCATCACCGGCGACTCACGGGCAGTCCAGCTCCAGGTCGAGCTGTTGTTCACCATCTTAGCTGTAGAGGGCAGTGTCACTGGCCCTCATGTGGGATCCGAACCGGGGCCCTGCTGCTCAGAGCTGGCATCCCAAGCCAACTCTTAACCAATGCGCCACTCGGCCGGCCTGCCCCAACAGTTTTTATATTGTCTTTTAAAAATGTTTGCTCTACATAGCACACAAATCAAGTGATTTTACTGCCATTTTGAGGGGAAAAGAGCTAACTAAAGAGGATGCTCTGATACTTTTTCAGTATAAGATTATGAGCTGAAGGATCAGCCTTAGACAGAATTTATTGAGCATGTGTCCATATCATGAGGGTGCTGCAGAATTTATTTAGTTGATTCTCATCTACAGAAAATAGTTTTGTAATTATTACAAAATTAAGAGAAATTTTTTTTTTATTGTTAGTTTCAGGTGTACAGAACAATGCAATAGTTAACCCTTTTAAGATAATTTGTTAACGTGAGCAAAGACTTTCCCATGTGATGATAATGGCCCACTATTCTTTTTTTCTTTCTTAATTAAAGTTTATTGGGGTGACAATTGTTAGTAAAGTTACATAGGTTTCAGGTGTACAATCCTGTAATAAATCATCTATCCACTATTCTTTCTTTGTCATTACTTTCCTCAGTGCCAGATAAATCAGCCTCTAAATGGAGGAAGTAGTTTTTACTACCTAAAATTCGGATATTATTACACTTCTTGGAAATTCCTCACTCTAACTTTCTAACTCAAAAGTGGGTAAGTGTTGAAACCCTCACATGGGTCCTTGGTCCTTGCTCACAAGTTGGTTCTTTCTTTAAAGGGATCATCTACCACTCACAGGTTGCTGGATGTAAACTTAACTATTTATATTTACACAGACTAGGCTGGGGCTTTCCCCTCCTTTGTGCTGGTACCTCCACTTCTGTTTTTCCTCTACTGGACCCTGAAACTCTTGGTCTGTCGACATTCCTATGAGTGTGACATTTTTGTTGAACAGCAGAGGAGTGACATATGTGCATTTCTCTGGGATATTCCAGACAGAATTGACAGGGTGAGGAAACAGTCAACAAGTGCGTTATTGATGTAATGTGTCTACGCTGACAGCACCATTGTCTTTGTACTTTGCAGGTACAAGCAGTGAGTCCCATACATCCTTATTACTAGACTTTATTCTGGACCTTCCTCTGAAGCCAGTGCCACGGGCATCATCCTGATCCTGGTGAGCATGTTTGGTTCCTTTTTCTCATTTACTTTATTGCTTTTGGGGTGGGGGAGGAAGCTTCTCCCTTCCTCTCAAGGTTCTTTCGGCTGGTCTAATACTCAAATAGACAAGGCTCAGCTTCAAAAGCCCTAGAAGTTAGTGAGCACAGGTGGTGGAAGTGACTGTCTACTTGACTATAAAGGGGCTAATACAAATGTGGTTTGGAGCTTTATATTTTAACACCCCCCCCCATGTCCATGGGTATTTGTAGCCTTTCAGGGCACCTGAATACTCATAGCTTGTGAATACTTTATGGAGTCTGAAATCATGGCTTTAACACATTATATGATCAATTGCAGGCAACTCCCCAGGAATCTGGGCACGGCCCCTTTAGGAAAGAGCCAGGACGCCCATCCCGCACAGTGCTGCTTCCCCTCTGTTCTGGGAGGTTCCGCCGTTGGTGGGGTGGCCTGTCGTGGAGGCCTATGGAGCTGTGAGAACATCATCGCCCAGAGGAGCCAATGAAGGTCCAGGAGAGGGGCGCTTCCGTGTATGCCGTTGCATTGGGGTGGGACTTCTGGCGTCCTCCTCTTAGGTCTGTTTCCTGTTCAGAGGCTCCAGATGCGACAGCTGGTCAGAGAAGGCGTGACAAGAGCCATTGTCCCGACAGCCCAGAGTCCGATGGCAACAGTCACGCTCAGGGTCCCGGCTCAGGTGAATGCACATTCCCCCTGCATCTGCTCACGTCCTGCAGCTCAGGTCCTGGCATCCAGGACAGTGAGGCACTGGTGGGTGATATTGCTGGGTGAGGGGCTGGCAGTGTAAAGACATGTAAGGGCAACTGAGCTGGAAGCGCCTTGGAACAGAGTGTGTGAAGTGGAGTGGCACTGAGATTGTCAGGCTGGGGGGGTCTTGGGACCCTTTCACTGAGGGAGAAACATGATTTGAGGTAAGGATATAAAAGCTTATTAAGAGGCTGTTTACAAGAGCAAATTGGAGAGGGATGATGACAGTGAGGTTGCAGAGGGAGGTTGAATAAGAGTCAGCACTGAGGCCTGAATCCCAGAGTGTAGAAAATCAGCTGAGGTCTCCTGGCTCCAGGAGTGGCCAGAGACCCAAAGGAGATCAGAGCCCACTGAGCCGCACCTCGGTTGCCTCTGCCTCCTCTGATTGTCGACACAGGTAAGGGGAGGGTGTGCCGCTCCATCCCTGTGGTGTCTGGGACCCTGGAAAAGCATGAAACCCAGGCTGTTCATAGATCCAGCACTTGATATAAGGCTGTTACAGGCAGAGGTACCAGCATGTACAAAATGCTTGCAGATGAGTCTGAGCTGGGAGTATTGCGGGAAATACAGGTTGCTTTTCCTTCTGCTGGAACAGGGAGACAGCATTAAAGGGCGGAGGGAGGGGTGTGTGAATCATAACATGGAGGTAGTTACCCCTGCCTTTACATGTTTCATGTAGTTGTGAGAATGCTGCCACAAAGTCCAGGTGGGGTGGACCAAGTTCTTGGAGTGAGGAAGACAATGGGAGGGATCGGTGATGAGACACCCCCTTCCCCCAAGGGTTTTAGAAACAGTGGGAGTCATTTCCAGTGAAGAGATGCTCAGCGTCTGTCCTATTGTAGAAAACACTGACTGGAGGCAGCTGGGTGTAAAGGTCTAGAATGAGGTTCTTAGTGTGATATCCAGTGTGACTGGTACTTTGTACTGGGCTGTGGCAGCCCTAGCAGTTAACATCCCTGAGGAGGATGCCACTGGGACTGGGCTGCGAACGAGGGTAGGTGTAAAGAAAAGGGATGGGGCCAGCCGAGTGGCTTAGTTGGTTAAGAGTTGGCTTAAGAGCGCGAGCTCTGAGCAACAGGGCTGCCGGTTCGATTCCCACATGGGCCAGTGAAGCTGCGCCCGAGCTGAGCTGTCTATCACTTAGCTGCCAACAGGTGGCAGGATGGCTCAGCTGGTGTAACAACAAGATTGCTTGTTCAGTAGAGGGCTATGCCCACCCGCAACTAAGACTGAACTCAGCACCTTGACCTGGGCTGCCACCCAGATGGCTCAGTGGATACAGCATGTGCTTTTTTTTTTTAAGATTTTTTATTGGGAAATTTGGGGAGGGGAACAGAAAAGTTGCTGTCCTTTTATTCTTTAGTCTAGTTGTGGAGGACGTTGCTTCACTGGCCCATGTTGGTAATGCTCTTCCCGGGAGAGGCAGTCGCTCGCCGGCCATTGGGAGGGCCACTCATAGCGGTTCACGAAAGCTCACGCCCGCTGCCAGCCAACCCCACTGCAGCCTACGCTGTCGCCAGTGACTCATGGCAGCCCAGCTCCAGGTCGAGCTGTTGTTCACCATCTTAGCTGTAGAGAGTGCAGCATCACTGGCCCTCATGTGGGATCCGAACCTGAGGATCTGGCCCTGCTGCTCAGAGCTGGTGTCCCAAGCCAACTCCTAACCAACGCGCCACTCAGCCAACCCCAGCATGTGCTCTTAACAAGGCTGCTGGTTCGACTCCTGCATGGGATGGTGGTTACGCACACCTGCAACTAAGATTGAACACAGCACCTTGAGCTTAGAGGCCACTAGCTGCTGCTGGGCAGCCAAATGGTGACTGGCGCCCTCCACAACGAAGGTTGAAGAACAACAACGTGGCTGGTCCTCTTCCCCAATTCCCCAACTCTGTTCCCCTCCCCCAATTCCCCTATAAAAATATTTAAAAAGAAAAGGGCTGGCTGCTGAGGGGGCATCAGTGCCCCACAAAGTGAGAAGAGGGCATGGATCCTAGGCCAACCTGGGGCCTTCACAGTGGACTTGAGGGTCCACCAGGTCTGTAGAGTACTGGATCATGTTTGACGGTGCCTAGCACTCTTGACAGTGTATGAGGAGTATGGAGGGGCAGGTGCATGGCAAAAGGGGTACCTGAGGATGTAGTGGTGGAGTGCAATGACAGATACGCAGGTGGAGAGTGCATTTGAGCTGATGGCCATAGTCCTTGGTATTAGGGACTTACAGTGAACATTGGAGGTACAGTTGGGTGGACACCTGGGAGGTACCTTTACAGGATTTCAGGGGAATTGCCTGGCTGGAGGCTGGTGAGGCCCTGAACTGAGATTATGTGTATGTGGGCTGTCTCCTGAGGAGAAAGTGACATCAGTGTCACCAGGGTCTGGTGTGTCCTGAGTCCTATGAGCAAGGGGCAGACGTTTGGGGATGGATTTGTGGAGCTGTGTTTTCACCTCTCCTTTTCATGGCAGGGCCGTGTGACCTTTGAAGATGTGGTCGTGTACTTCTCCTGGGAGGAGTGGGGGCTCCTGGATGAGACTCAGAGATGCCTGTACCATGACGTGATGCTTGAGAACTTTGCACTTGTGACCTCACTGGGTAAGACTCACAGCCTCCCCAGGGACCCAGACTCAACTCTGCTCTTTGCTTCCCCTCCCAGGGCTGCCCTGTCCTTCCCTTTGGACTCTTGCTGTGGCATTGTTTCCTCCCAGGTTCGTTACGGTGCTGGGGTCGATCCAGGGCTGAATAAGTGCCCCTTCTTGCACCTGCGGCCCCAGAGAGCCTGGTGGATCATTACCTTGCCTGACCTACCCCTGGCCGGGTAACTGTCTCACCCATACCTGGCACTGCTTCTGCTGCCGGTTATTCTCCCTCCTAGCTGACATTTCTCCCCATCTGCCAGCACTTGTTGTAACTGGTATGTCCACTACATTACCTTTGGAGACCATCACTTAGTTTTAGTTTCCTGTTTATCTGTTAATGTGCAGAATTGCTCTTGGCCAGTGCTAGTCTCTCACATGTCCTGTTGTCTTAGTACTGGTATCATCCTGGTCCCAGGTTGTTCACCTGGGGTTTGGGAACAAGAGTCTGGGATGCCTCACCAGATGAACATGATACTAGCCCTAGCACCACAGGCTCAGAGGAGGTTAGGTCCCAGTGAATGTCAGCTGGGGGAGGGTAGGACATCAGAGTATGTTCAGATCACCCACGAGGAACCTGTCCTGTGCCCACCATGTTGACGCTGATGCCAAGAAGCCCACACTTTGTTTCCCTTGCCTTCCCCATTTGTGACAATTCCATAACTTCTCATTTCTACTGACTTCTGGTCCTTGGCTACCACCACTGTTACATCACATGTAATGTGTTGCAAGGAGTGTGTACATCTGTGGAATAGTCTCTGAACAGCATTCTAGGCAGTTGCAACTACATATTCTTGGGCCTGGGCAAAAACTTCCACACACACAGGAGTCAGTTGGGGACCCCCAAATTCTTGTGGCTTTTAGAGTCCCAGTGCTACAGAGCAGCCCTTTCTTCATCAAACTGGTCCCGACACTCACATCTTGAAAACAAACCACAGGCCTCCGTTCTTTCAGTGATGGGGCTGCCCCTTCCCCCCAAATCCATGTGCACTCTCCAGCCTTTCTGTGCTTTCAGGTTGTTGGTATGGAATGGAGGAGGAGGTGCTTTCTGGGCAGAGTGTTAATGTGGAACAAACGCCCCTGGGTCAAACTCCAGCCACTCAGAAGACTTATCCCTGTGAAAAGAGTGTCCTGATGGGGAGAGACATTTTGTGCCTCACAACAGACCACGGGTTCCATCCTGAACAGAAATCCCATGCCTGTGGGACCTGGCGGGAACATGCCTGGTTCATCCCGAACCTTCACCAGCACCAGCATCATTGTGATGAGAAGGCACTGCAGAGGGACACGCACACAGCCTCACTGATGACAAGCTGCCAACTCCACGTCTCAGGGAAGCCTTTTACCTTCACCTGTGGGGCAGTGGGGAAGGACTTCCTGGCCATGTTGAGTCTTCTTCAGCATCAGGCCACTCTCAAAGAAGCTAGGTCACCCAGTGGCTTCAAGTATGGGGGTGGGGAGGCCTTTCGTAGCGGGACTAGTCCTTACTGGCACAGTGAGTATGAATACAAACTCTTTCAGCATCAGCAGATTCACACTCAGGCTAGTCCTTATAACTGCGAGAAACCCTTCCACCAAAGCGCCACCCTTAGTCACTGTCAGGATACTGAGATGGCAGCGAAGTCTTATGAGTGCGGCGACTGTGGAAGAACCTTCAGCCAAAGCTACAGCCTCATCCAGCACCACAGAATCCACACGGGAGCCAGGCCTTACAAGTGCAACGAGTGTGGGAAAGCCTTCACCTACAAGCTCCGCCTTGTTCAGCACCTGCACATCCACAATCGAGTGAAGCCTTACGAGTGTGGGGACTGTAGGAAGTCCTTCAGCTACAGTTCGACTCTCATTAAGCACCAGCGAGTGCACACAGGAGCCAGGCCTTACAAGTGCGGGGAGTGTGGGAATTCCTTCAGCCAAAGCTCCAACCTCATTCAGCACCAGAAAATTCACAATGGGGCTAGGCCTTACAAGTGCAGCGAGTGTGGAAAGTCTTTCAGCTACAAGTGCAAACTCGTTCAGCACCTTCGAATTCACACGGGCGAAAGGCCCTATGAGTGTGGGGAGTGTGGGAGGTCTTTTAGCCACAGCTCCACTCTCAATCAACACCGGAGAATTCACACAGGAGCCAGGCCTTATAAGTGTGACGAGTGTGAGAAATCCTTCAGCCAAAAGTCTAACCTCATTCAGCACCAGAGAGTTCACACAGGAGAGAGGCCTTATGAGTGTGGCGAGTGTGGCAAGTCCTTTAGCCAGAGCTCCCACATCATTCAGCACAGAAAACTTCACACCAGATAACCTCACGCATGCAGCAGCTGTGGGCAAACCTTTGGCCACTGGTCTGCTGTATGGACATGGAAGCTTCACTCATATGGTTGATGTGTGCACACCCAACTTGGGAAAACCCTCGTGTAAAGTCTAACTGACCTCATTTGGCCTCAGAACATACACCCAGGACGAAGGTGCTTTTCTGTTGAGGGAAACAGAATAGGGGTGGGGGTGGGGGGTGAAATTCATACAATTCCATGAGTTCTGGGTTCCTCAGGAGCTTTGAGGAGCCATATTGCATATTCTACCCGGTTTCCTTGCCTGATCCACGCCGCTGCCAGAAGCCATCTCACCTTTACCAGCTAGCTTCAGCAGGGTCTATCAGGTGTTTCTAAATATTCGGGGTGGGGGAGCTCCTTCCCTCCTCTCTGATTAATTGGGCACACGCACTCAGGGTGATGCTAGCAGCTTGCAAAGGTCTACCTGCTTCCACTTGTGGCCTAACTTGCACAGTTGCCCAAGGCCGCCTAGGAGAGATGATAGGGCAGCCTGGACGTCAGCCAAGAGGAGTGTAGACTGCCATGCCAGCCTCCGGTGCATGCTTCTCTGAGACATTTAACTGGGTCCCCTGTCCCAAGTGATGTCACATCATGCTGAGCACTATTGTGGGGATGCTCTTTCACAGCTACTACAAAAGGAATCATGTGCCTTCATGTCTAGACTTGGCTTGTCTGGTGTGAGTGGTTGCAAGACTACAGGGGCCAGGCTCAAACCCTAATTTGTATGGGAACACTGGGTGGCAGGCTATGAGAGGCCATCCCTGTTCTAGAGGTGCACCATGGGTGTTCCACTGACTGGTTGTGTGGGATGAGTGCGCACTCTGGCCTCTATATATATATATTTTTTATATATATATATATATATATATATATATATATATATATATATATATATGCAGAGGCTAGAAAGTGAAAACAAGGAAGAGCCTGGGTATATAGCTTTTGTGACCCCGCAGACTAAAATGGCAGGAAACAGTGACAAACAAGATCATTTGAATTTTTCCTGCCACTGATGCAGGGCTGCACTCTCCAAAGCATCAGTCAATATTTCTTAACCTCTGGTTGGGGAAAAAAAGTGGGAACATCCAGACTTCTATTTGAACGATTTTTACATAGACGTGCTATGGGAACTGCACATGTTTAAGTTGATTACTTTTGACAGGGTGCATCTGCACCCATGAAACAAATGATCAAAATCATAACCACCTATGGACTCATACTAAAAACTGCCCTCACGGCAACCAGACTGATGTAGTTTTTCTTTTTTGCATTTTATGTAATTTGTTTTATATTATGGTTTCTTTCCTTCATGCTGCATAACTTTGAGGTTCACAGATGTCATTTATGTTAAATATTTTATTGCTTTTACTGCTGAGCATTTTGTTCTGTGGATGTCCACAATTTGTTTACATTTAAATCCATTAATGAAAAACATTGGGCTTGTTTCCACTGTTTTGCTCCAACCCCTCAGCCCATGAGAAAGTTACCACCCTGAATTTTCGCTTCCTCAGAAACAATGTCTCCCACTTCCTTTCTCCCTGCTAACGTTCATCTCCTTTGTTGAACTTTTTCCTGTGATTTCCCACATTGCAACTCTGCTCTTCCTGAATAAACACCTTTGCTGGTCAAAGTGACTTATTTTTTAGAAATTTTATTGGGGAACAGTGTGTTTTTCCAGGACCCATCAGCTACAAGTCAAGTAGTTGTCTTCAGTCTAGGTGTGGAGGGCACAGCCCCTTGGCCCATATGGGAATTAAACTGGCAACACCGGTGCTATGAGCCTGTGCTCCAACCACATGAGCTTACCTACAGCCCCAGACTTTTTTTAAGATTTTTTTTTGGGGGTGGTGGAATTGTGGGAGGGGAATAGTGTTGGGGAATTGGGGAAGGGGACCAGCCAAGTTGTTCTTCAGTCTTTGTTGTGGGGGGGTGCAAGTTGCCATATGGCTTCCCAACAGTAGCTCAAGATGCTGTGTTTAATCTTAGTTGCAGGTGGGCGTAGCCACCATTCCATGTGGGAGCCAAACCCAGAAGCCTTGTTAGGAGTGCATGCTCTATCCACTGAAACATCCAGGCGGCAGCTCAGCTCAAGGTGCTGAGTTCAGTCGAACAGGCAATCTTGTTAAATCAGCTGAGCCATCCTGCCACCTGTTGGCAGCTCAGCGACAGCTCAGCTTGGGTGCAGCGTCACTGGCCCATGTGGGAATTGAACTGGCGGCCCTGTTGCGCAGAGCTCGCGCTCTTAAGCCAACTCTTAACCAACTAAGCTACTCAGCTGGCCCTCCAGACTTTTATTTTTAACGTCTGCATTAACATCTTAACACAAGTCCATTGTAGCTGAGTTGCTACAGAGTATAAACTGAATTGCCCAGTTTATACTTTGCAACAGTTTCTCAGATTTTGTAGATGACCAAAAGGACACTTCCAAAAAGTGTAGAAATAACACTGCCCCAAACACCACATGCTCTATTCACTGCAATTCAGGATTCACTTCCAGCGGATGAACTGCAGCTGGAATGTCTAGTTTCTGGCCCCAGACTAGTTTCTCCAATGGATCTGTCTTAAAGGGCTCCCTTCTCTGGAATGAAACCCTCATTCCCTGTCATTTTTGGTCACCATGGTTGGTACCATGACTACCAGTGAAAGGAGGTAAGCAGGCATTCCAATGGGTTGTTGCCAGCAAGGGGGGGGGTGGGGTGGGCTATGGTCATTTAAGTTTCTCCAGTTTCCAAAGCCCTTGGTAGGGGAAGGCTGACAACCCCGGTTTTGATCTGAAAGATGTAGCACCCTCCCCACCCCAGTGGGTGTCAGCACCAGTTGGCATGTATTATAGTGCCAGTCAGTTTCAATGATGTTACCGTGTCACTATAATACAGATCAAGTGGCTAAAAGACCAATAACTGAGTTCATGAGGCATCTAGTCGCATGTACCATACCCACGGCTTTATCTTCTAGATGCCAGCCAATGGTCATGGTGGCAATTGACCAAAAGGACTCTCCGATTTGGGGTGCAGTGAAGGAAACTATTCAGTGCTAGCAGCTCAATTGTGATACCATGGCATTTGGGCAGTCTCTGGGCAAAGTGGCCCCTCCAGCTAGACAGCTGTGCTCCAGCTAGACAGCTCTGCTCCCACCCATTCCATTCCTTTACCTGTGCAGGTCTCTAGCAAGATGTCCCCAGTGTTCCAGTTCCAGAGGGGGAAACAGCCTTCAGCCTTTCCCCCAAAGGGCGCTCTTCAACCTAGAGCAGGGAGCTCACTATGTAGATAGAAGTCCCCACTCCAGTCCCTGATTGGTCCATCCTCATACAAACCAAATCTTCACCGTTGGTCCAAAATGCACTGTCCTGATTGGTGAAAATGAAGCCAATCTGATTGGTCAGTGAAGATGCTCATTGGGATATAGCTCTGCAGCTCCTATTGGAGAGGGAAAGTCTCAGTCCTCTGGGTTGAAATAGAATTCCAGGAAATCTTTTATAAGGGCTGGTTCAGATGGCAGGAACACAGTGCAGGCAGTTCAGTGAGGGAGGCAGGAAGCTTAGTGCATGCAGGCTTCTCCCTACAGCAGGGTTTGCATGAGATGCCCCTGTTCAGAAAGAGCTGCTGGGCTGTGCTTTTAAAATTTGAGCCCAGTTAGTCACCAGGAGCCTTAGTATGTATCATCTTTCTCAGGGTCTTCAGAGAGAAGAAGGTGCTACTGGCAGAAAGGATCAGTCAGCCATGTAGGGGAAAGCCAAATTCACTGGCAGGTGTCCTGGGCATGCTGACAAAGGGGTACACATAGAGGCGGCCTCCCACAGCACAGAGAAAGGAAAACAGCCCCACAATCTACCCCATGTGCGGTGAGGCTGACAACGTGCCCACAAAGAGTATGTGCACCTGCCATTGAGGCCAGCACACTTGCAGAGGAGGGCCCCGCCAAGGCCCCAGACACCACAACAGTTAGGATCATAGGTCAGGCCCCCATCATGCATCAAAAAAGCACAGCCCCTGGCGGGAAGCTGGACAGAGAGCACCAGATGGCGTGCAGGGAAAGGGGACTGGGAGCATCAGAAGCCATGACATACAGAGCCCTCGACAGAGAAGCCTCAAGCACAGGGCAACCACCAGAACGCGAACTGGTCTCAGCGACCGCGTATCTCACAGCGCTCGTCCTACAGGCCACAGTGCTAAACCTGGACTTCCTGCACACGCGCTAATATGCTGTGCCGCTCACGTGGGACCCCGTGGGGTCCGGGCCACTTCGTCCGGGGACAACGGGGGCCTTGGGGCGAGAACCGTCCCCTCACGCTGAGGCTGGTTCAGCCCCCGGCAGGGGAGGGTCGGACATAAACGAGGCTGCGGGGAGGAGTCCAGGAAAGGCTTCAAACACAGCTGGATCAGCGGGAAAACACGATGGGATCCACCGGTACCAACGTGAAGGCACCCTGTGACGCCCCGGGTCTCAGCACCTCCAGTCATTGGTGTCCGCCCTGAGGCTGCACGCCTACCATTGTTCGCTGTCACATCTCAGAGATGCTCACAAGCGACGGGCCCAACTTGTTTCCCTGCACTGCCTGCAGCTTAAGACAGAGCGAGCAGTGCGATGGCGTCCCTACAAATACGTGACGGGGAACCATTCAAGCACCACCCGGACGCGGGCCCTCCGGAACCCCCTCCTTCAGAAGCGGAGGCTCAGCGGTGGGAGGCCAAGAGCTGCCTGGACCCAGTCCGCCGAGAGGGCTCCGCACATGCACAATGGGAGCCACACGGGTGGTTTTGCACCGAGTAGGGCCGATGGGTGTCCGGGCCCTGTGGACGCTCTATCGGATCGTTAGAGGTCTCACTGCGGTGTCACTCTACAGACTAACCCGTTGGGAGCAGGCGTCCAAACACCGGGACAACGGGACAGCGGCTCGCGGTGTGGGGGGCACCGGCAGCCTGAGCGCTCGCTTTGGGGCCGGAGCATGCGACGCCTCGGGCTCGTCTCGTCCACAGGGCGCTTGTGTTGCCGTTTTTCATGAAAGTAACCAAGATGACACGCGTACAAACCGGCAAAACGGCAGTCCCAAAGTTGAGGGTGCCACACTTGCTCGCGCCCACAGGCAGCAAAAGACACTCAAAGGTGCGCCTACCTCCTCAACTGGGCACTGCTCCTCAGATACTGCCGCTTTGGTCCAAGGGGGTCCTCCGGACGGAATCAACGCCCCTGCTCAGCCTCAGGCAACCGAAGAACGACCTGGAGCCTCACTGGGCGCAGCAGAGGGTTTGGTGGGGCGGTCTCTCCACCGCTGGAAATGCGGTCGAAGGGTGAGTGAATGTCTGCTTTGTTACGGGACTCGGACCGCTGCATCCCGGCTTTTCATTCACTGCCTCCTGGCAGGGAAGAGCAGCGAGGGGACATGGGCAGAGCCATCCACCGACTCGGGCTTGGAGTGCAGAATGCGAGCGCCACAGGAATTCGTACAGAGGGCTCCGAGGGGAGACCAGGGAGACAGCAACTGGAGATGCTCCGTCAGGGGAGGACCGCCCACAACCCCGGAATGGGACGACAGATAATGTAGCTCAGAGCCTGCAGGGTGAGGTCACCGCACCGGCTCTCTGGGGTGTGGAGTGCACGCGTGAGGACTCCGCCGCCCTCGTGCGCTGGAGCCAGAGGCAGCACCATGGTCCGCGCCCAAGATGCACGAGACCCTGTACACAGACCCAGTTAGGCGGCTCCAGCAGCTGGGGCAGAGCTGGGTGGATAGCATGGTGAAGCCTGGGGCTCTGCCCTCCCCAGAGCCAACCTCTTTGGACACCGCAGTTGGTGATGGGGCTGGTCCACAGTTCACGGTTGCCTCTTG